TAGTTTAATCCTGAAGAGTTTATCTGAAGAATAACTGAAAAGTATTTCTGATTCTTATTTCTGAAGATGAAAATGTTGCTGTTTTGACCTCGTTTGCATTACACGGTCCACCGTTTCTGTGTTTTCTTTTAGCTTAGACATTGGAGATAGTAAAGACTCATCTGACATTAATATATGTTTTGATTACTGCCTCGGTCAAGGTTCAGCTGAGCCAAAGTGGTACCATATGAGTACGGGGAGAAACTACAGACCTCTGATTGGTCAGAGAGAACCATCAGCATGTGGTGTAGACAACGTAATAACTGCGGTCTCATTCTGACCAACTTTCTTGTTTTATTTGTCACAGTACAAGAACATAAAGAAGACCAGAACTTTAGTCAACAGAACTGGACTTGTAAAGTTTGGTCCAGTGGAAATATAAATACATTGACATGAGGAAAAGATTAAATAGCCCTTTGCAGATTGATGATAATTAAAGAAGTTTGTGATGAACCCAATTAGTTTTATCCATCTGGTATTAACTCTCCATATTACATAATAGCAATATAAGTTTCCATATTTTTGTATGAAACAGAAAATGAAAGATTATTTCTTTTCCTTTAGACAAGCTCAACACTGCTAGATGGGAATTGTAGAAAAAAATATGCAGTATTGATTCAGCCAACTGGAATAAAACTGCAGCTCAGACGCCAGGAGCATTTTTACCCATGTCCTCTGTGCATTGCTGCTTAACTATTGGGACACGCTATAGGTCGTTAAATTTGATTTGCTTTGAAGCTACTAAGTATAGCCACAATATGTTGACCCTATTAAAATCATCGGCACAAGTTCGCAACAACAAATGCACGATGTTTACAGTTGCATCTACATAAATTGGAATATCTCCAAAGGCTTAATTATTTTCATTATTACAATTTAAAAAAGTAAACCCAAACAGATCCTTTTCCCACAGTGTGGCATAGTCCAGTGTTTATGTCTGTTCATTTTGAAAGTAATGGATTAGAGCAAATGAAAACTCAGAATTGAATATCTCAGACTACAGTTAAATAATTCATGACCTAAGTTATGCAGAAATGTCCCCTTACTGAAAGGTACGTCCAAGTAATGTGCAGTTGAACTCCTTCTGCATGAATTACAGCCTCAGCATGATGTCATGTTGAGGTGATCACCCTGTGTCACTTGTTTTTCCTCTTGATAATACTCTATAGATTCTCTATGGACAATTTGTTGGACAATCAAGTAACAACATGGTCATTAAACCAGGCAGTAGTGGGAGTGTGCGTAGTTGCTGAGCCATTCTGGTGAAAGCAATCAGCATCTCCAAAAAGCTTTTTAACAAATGGGAGCAAGACCTGCTTTAAAATTTCCTTGTAGATAGCAGTACTGACTTTGGACCTGATAAAACACAGTGGAGCAACAAAAAATGGTACAATTTCCCATATCATCACTTCCTGAAGAAACCTTACATTTGACTTTAGATCAATTGGATTCATTTGACACCCCTGATTTCCAAATGCATTAGTGGGCACACTTCCTCTAATCAACTAATGTGCTAATAGCTGAGCTTATTTTTCATTTTAGAGATTTTCCTAACTTTGAAAAAGCTTAGTACACTTAGCTTCCACTATTTTTTTTTCCAGATAAATTCTGAAGTTCTAATTTATTTGGCTGTTTTATAAACTTTAAGTTGACTGAGGTTTGACATATGTGTTAAAGTTTTGGTTAGAAGTTCATATTTGTGCTCTTATTTTGAAGTGGGAGAGATTGTTTACATAGCAGTTCTGCTTCCTCTCCTCACGTTTTCTACTCGTGATGCAGCAAATGGGGTTTATTCTGTACACAGAATGTACAGCAGTCAGTTTAAAATCTACTGATGTCCTGTCTGCTTTCTGACCGAAGTAAGTTAAAATCAGCAATAGAGTTAGTAATACTGAAAACTATAAAACCGAAACCATGACACCAGAAGCTGCTTAAACATAAAGAATACCATATTTGCAGTTCATGTCCTAGATACGTCTGGATGTGGTTGCTCTTGAAGTGCTGATTCCAGTCCACACGTTATTAATCACTTCCAAAGTATTGAATGGGCTTTGCTTCCAACTCCCTAAAATAATTAGTTACCGCTGTTACTGGTGTGCCATTTTCTGCTGCACTTTTTCCTTACACTAAACTGTCTATTAATATAAAATTGACATTGTTTTTTTGTTTGTTTGTTTTTTTATTATGTGTACTATGTTGTCTAACTTAAGGCAAAGCAAGGTATTTTAATGGTAAATAGAATAAATCAGCTCATATTTACTGTAGTGTGCATTTTTTGCCGATATTCCCAGAAAGAAAAAGCATTGGTTAAATGCATGCATCACCTCTGCATTGCCTTCAGGGAAACAAAAGCTAAAAAAAAAGAAAAAAAAACAAAACAAAACAAATGCTCCGATGTCATTAGCAGGCTTTTGTTTAGCCCACAGATCACTGTCAGATTTATTTGTCTGTGTATTCAACTGGGTGGCTAACAAGCTAATCAAGTCGCTAAATACAGAGGGAGGAGATCTGCGTTTACAGCGGATCCCCCACCAGCCAGTTAGAGGCTCTTCCCAAAACTGTCAGAAATGAAAGCAGTCGTGCACGGTTCAAGGGCTTCTAAGTAAAAGTTTCTCTTCGCAGCTGTAATACAGTGAGTGAAGGCGAAAGCAATTAACTGTGGCAGGTGGGGAAACTTCTCTGGCCATCTTCTCTCCTCCTGCGCAGACACAGTGTCTCGCCTTAGGTTGCACGTGGCTTGGGCATGAACTGGCCGAGGCCGCATTAATTAAACACAGGGAGACAGTCAAACCTTTGTGCGCGAGACCAACGGCTGCAGGACTTAACTACCTTGACCTAATTTAGGTTAAGTCTTTGCCTGTTTTTAGTGGACCTTAATAATTTTTTATTTTTATTTTTTTTGTCCCAATAATGAGTAGCCTCAGAGAGAGAGCGGGAGAGAGAAAAAGAGAAACTTTCACGTCAAGAAGAAGAGTCTTGTTACTTTCTAACGGCGGCAGATGAGAGCATGTCAAGAGGGTTCGGCAGTGTTGCTGTTTTGACACAAATTAATGAAGTGCCTGATATGTATCCAAGGGAAACGGGGAGCAACAGTAAAAATGCCTCTTCCTCGTGTGGCTATGCATTAGTTTACATTCAACAACAGCAGTGTCACGGTCATTAACCCACAGCAGGGCTGCTGTGTCCCCGTGCCCATTAAGCATTAGACAAACTGAGAGCGAAATGAAGTGTCTGCTGAAGCTTATGTAAAGCACAAACTGTGACTCTCTGTGGCAGTGGACATTTACAGCTTGTGTAGGGCTGCGCCTGATATGGTAATATCACTAATTGCTGCCTAATTAGATGCGAGTCAGTGAGTCGTGTTTTAATACTCTTCAGGGATCGTTACTGAAGGAGGAGAAATTCATCACTTCTGACGAATGACAGTCGGGTCAGCAGGAATTTGAGCATCAAGTCGGAGGGACTGATGGGAAGATGCAGGAGAGCTCAGAACTAATGGTTTTTTCGCGCCGTTGTCGTGTTACTTAAGTAGAGTCATTTTCAGCATGGTGCAGAGCTGCTTCAGAAGTTAATCACACATTAATACGGAGCTCTATGTGGAGATTTACCATTGACTAACAGTGTGAGATTGAAACCAATAAGCCTTAAAAGAGTGAAAATCTAAGTTTCACAACGGCAGAAAGAAGCTGCTGATAATCACGACTGCAAATTATTTATGATGAGCTTTTAAGTCGGGGTGGGCAGTGTGATCGCCGTGGGGTGGAGGAGAAGGAGAGCTGTTAATTTGGAGGAAACATAAAGGACCAGTTCGTGCAGGAGGGCACCTTACAACAAGTGGCTCACACTCCATGTGAACGAGATTATTATTCATACACCGCACTCCAAAAGTAATTGCTGCCCGTGGTAAAAATGTAAAAAAAAAAAAAAAAAGCCTCCAAATAAATTAATCTTATATATTGCATTAACCTATTCTTACATAAAAGTAAAAAAAAAAATCCGACCTTTAAATTGAGGTCATTTTGTCCCTCCACTATTTTATACTTTTGTGTTCTGGTTTGTTAGTCTTTGATTTATTAAATGCTTAAAAAGAAAACCAAAGACCAGCAGAATAATTTAGCATTTTTGCTTATTAATTCTGAAGAGGATGAGGGAACCCTAAGCAATCCAACAGCATCTTCAAAGCAATCAGATATTTGTTGGGATCGAATGATTTTCAATTCTTCTTCAACACATTTAGCCAAGGTACAGATGAATACATGATCATCATATTTTTTAAACACTTTATTGACACCTAAAATAGCTAACTTTTCATCATCTACCCCAAATAACAACTTCTAGTCAGCGCAAAAAACAACATGCTTAAAGGAACTGGAACTGTCTCCAACAAAGCTGGAAGAGAACCTAATTAACTCACTGTTAGGGAAGAAAAGGCGCCATCTTGGGTTTATCAAGTCTTCTTAATAACTATCAATTTTAATCTTACACATCTTTACACTGCTGCAGTTATACTCTGGAAAGCACAAGTAAAAGTATGTACTTTTAAACGTAAAAACTTTACTCAAAGTTCGGTCTAATATAAGTGAATGTTGTTCTTGGATTAAATTTTTTTTTCTTTTTTATTCCCTTTACATTGGAGCCAGACTTTTGTTTTTTTTTCCCACTCAGACAGACATCTTAAAAAGGTGTTTCATAGTTTTTGTGTTTTTTCAAGCGGTGCCAGGCATATGTCTTCTCTGTTCACTCTCAAAGTCATTTTGGTTGTTTGTATTGTTCTTCCCAGCTGGAGTGAGGTGGCAGAGACAAAGGCAGATGTGTCCCTGTTTGTTTTTGAAGTGTCAGAGTTAAGTCTTGCGTGTATGCGTGCGCGTGTGTGTGTGTGTGTGTTCTGCTTCTGTGTGACGATGCCCATGTTTGGGTGTTTCATTTCCCCCCCATGTGTTGTCTCTGTTTGTGGTCCACAGGTCCTCCGCTGCATTGTTCATCCGCCTCCTCCTCCCCTGTTGAGCAGCTCCCATACCCTCCCCCTTCCATTACAGCCAATGAGAACCACGGGAGGTTGCTAGGTAACAGTGCGGCTCAGCCAGCCCAGGACTCTGACTCTGAGGATGAGTTTGGCCCCAATTCATTCTTAGTTAAAACTGGCTCAGGGAACCTGTATGCTCCTTCTGCTGCAACTGCTGATGGTGAGTTGGTTTTCACACTTACTGCTGCTTTCTGGAGGTCAGCCTGCTCCCCCCCCCTCCTCCCCACACACATGCACACACACACACACACACACTCCTGGATGTGTTGTGATACAGGTCATGCAGATGGCTACGGGCAAGATAATGTCCTTCTTTTTTTTTTCTTTTTTTTTTATTTAAGCACCTTAAGAGAGAGCTGAAACTTCGAGTCGATACGCAGCCTCAGGAAATGAGCAGAACTCTCTGAAGTGAGGTCGGCAAAGTTCACAGCAAAGCGATGGGCGATTTTGGTTGAGCAAGAAAGATTTGTCATTGATATTTCTGTTGGATGGTTTGGATAGGAAATAAGTGAGAAAAAGTTATAACATTCTAGGTGGAAACGTCGGGCTCTTGTATCGTAACTCACAACTGTAACATCCTGTCTTCCTAGTTGTATAAAGCTTCATGGACTCCCTGTGCGGTTGCTCATTAAAAAACATCAGCTGTTTTTTTTTTTGTTTTTTTTTATGTTGAAATGCAGTCTCCTGCTGGTACTGTAACATTCATTCAGACTGACAGAATGACATTTCAGCTCAAAGTGCTAACACAGTGTTGACAGTTGACGAAAAAAAAATCTGATTGTAAAGCTGTATGTTTACCAAGTAGGAAGCTGAAAGTGTCAGAAATGATGTCAGCAGTTAACGTACTGATTTAAGTATGAGGAGGACGATTTTGAGCATCCAGACATGATTTTTAAAGGAGCAAAATTGTGTTTTTTGATGTATATTTCTTAATTCTTTTCTTGTTGCTATATTCTAAATTCATCAACAGATTGAGAGATTAGGAGAGTTATCGATGATGATTAAGAAGAACTTTACACTCACTGATGTTATCTTCTCTTTTACAAAAAGAAAATGTGTACCGTAAATTAAAAATGGCAGCGATGGATCAGGCAGGTCTTTGGCTAATACCGATTCATGTTTGTCTTTAATGTCTGACGTGGCAGATGCAACTCTGACTAGTTGCATATTTTCCCCTTAAATTACTCAACACATTAAAGAACAAATATTTGCAACTGAAAGTGTGGAAATTTCAAAATTATTCATTGAATATTATTAAAGCATACGTTGCTTTTCTCCATCAAACTTTTACAAATCTCAGAAAAGACAAATTAAAATAGTTTAAGCTCTTAGTCTTGATGCTTTCAAGCTAATGACTTTCTCAGTATACTTCAACGTACATTTTTGGAACAACTTCTAGTAGTACTTAAATTCAGAATTTAAAGGGCTGTACTGGGAGCCAGTCATGGGAAATTGATGATCGATTTTGATCCCTGCTGGATTGATTGATGCATCAATAAATGCCAATACTGGTAATGTACAGCACTTATTCATATGATGTGGGATTCTGTCCATTTCGTGACAAGCTTTCAAAAGTAAAGATACACTTATTAGACTTAATTTTTATTTTTCGCCAAGGTAAGGCCTACCGATTCCAATAGATTCCAGTTTTTCTGCAGAACATCTTCAATAGAGGTTCCTGTTAAATACAACAAAAGAATAATAACAATATCATCAGGGATGCTAATGCTGATATATGTTCATGCTAGATGTCAGTCATTTTTTAACATATCTGTCTTGGTCCCATAAATAATTATGTTGATGTCAATAACCAAAGGTAGTTTTCATCTTTTTGCTGTTTGTGTGTGTGTGTGTGTGTTTGTGTTTTGGGTTGGCCATGTTATTATATTTGTTTGACATTAACAGTGATGCAGTGATGCAAACATATGGCCTGTGGACAAAGTTTGGCCTGCCAGTGCTTTTTCTGTGGCCCTCTAAAGGCCACAGAAATGGAAGTTCAAGATAACAGTTGTGTCCTTAAATATTATATTAACAGTCAAATCAAACCAGTTTTTATTTGCATAGGTCAAGGGTCTGCAACCTCTGGTGCCAAAACCACAAGTGGGTCTTGGACCTTCCACAAAGACTCTTATAAATGAACTGTTAAAAAAAAAAAGAAAAAAAAAAAATATATATATATATATATATATATCATCCATGTTGTTTCAGTCTTCCTAAAACAACATGAATGATTTAAGTCATTGATCAAGCTAACTAGTTGAAAGCTTTCAATATATGAAACTCCGAAGTGTCCTGACTGGCTGCTCAGGTCGGCAGCGGAATGAGTTATTAATCCCACTGCAAATCTCCCTGGTAATTCCTGTGCAGCAACACTGTGGTCACCCAGCAGTGGCACAATTGGCTGTAGGCAATATGGGTGGGGGTGGGGGGCTAAGACCTTTACCATGGCAGAAGTTTCTCACAACAATGAATGTAATTTGCATGGATAGATCGTTTAGTTTAGCCTTAGGCTGTCAGGAAGAGGAGTAAGGAGGAATTTCTGCAGCTCGAGTTGCTACCTCTGGTTGTCATTAGGGCTTTGAAAGACCCTTTTAGTAAGTGGCACTGTGCACACATACTGCTGTGCTTTCTTAATCGAACCAATGCTACTGACCAATAAAAAAAAAAACAAGGACCTGCAAATTCTTAGTTTTTTACCAAAATGTTGCTTAAATCTCATCTTGTTTGTCACACCCCCCAATGGGATGTTATGTTTCATTTTGAGACTTGACATTTTTACTTATGAATAGTGCTCTCATTAAAATTTGGAGAATAGCAAAGCATCTCCAAGTTTTGTTCAATTAATCCACACAACTTAGATAAGCTTCCTCTCTATCGTATTTCTCCCGCTGCATTTACAGCGCCTCATCCAAATATTTAGCAAGCTTGGTGACTTTGTTTATTCCATTCTGGGTATCTCTCATTTTTGATTAATAGGAAAAAAATGAGTCTTTCACTCCAGTGAACAGCACAACGTTCATTCCCCCTTTTTTTATTTTTTTTATTTTGTTGGGAAATAATATATGTAGCTAAATAACTCTATCAATCAGAGCTTGTTTCAGCAGAATGAAATGACTTGATTGGAAGTTGTTCAGTGTGACATTGCTACATAGAGCTAAATAAATCTAATATTCACAAGGTGACAAAAATGTAGTGAGAGGTGACAAAATGAGAGTGTGGTATTGGATGTGTTCGCCAGAATGATAATAAAAAGATTGCACATTCCCGATTTTTTATTTTTTTTTTTCTTTACAAAACATTTTCATTTTTGCTTTAGAAAATATTCCTGGATGTAATTGGGAATTAACCATGCATGTCAAGATTCCTTCAGAATTTACATGTGGCAAAAAAATATGTATTTGAAAACCACCACGGCGAAAAAGGATGACAATTTCAAATCGGGTCGTCTTGATATGCAAGTCATGCTTTGAAGAGAAATGTCATCTGAGCAGAAAAGAATAAAAAAAGATGTTTTTATTGTCAGTAAACAAGGTGAAAGAATACGTATGCCTCTAATAATCTTTTCGTAGTGGAATCTTTCCACAGAAAAACAGGTGGTTTTTATCTTTTCAGATTACATTCGCCCAAGGTCGTCTTGGAGCCCAAATGCAGGACTTAAAATGTTCTGGCGGATTTTGAACAACTGAAAGCTCTCAGTGGCATATCATTATTCACATTAGTAGCCTCCAAGGCTGCTGTGTGCTTTTTTTTATTTATTTTCAGAGTGGGGTGAGGGAGAGTTGTGTTTTATTTTTTATTATTATTATATCTGGGAAGACTAAGCAGTAGTTTCTCTAAGGCTGATGAGGCTGCTCGCTGAAGCCTGCAGTCCTATTGTCAAGCATGTGTCTCTCCGTGGCCTTCGGCTTTCTCCGAGGGTCTTCTTCCTGGGGAGAATGCCAGTTAGAGGCCGCTGCCACGCTGGGCTGCAAGATCTCAGACACTGCAGCCTCCCCGCATTAGCATCTCTTAATGCGAAGCAGCATGGGGTCGCCAGTATCGGCTTTCAGTGCGGTCGGACGCCCCGGTGAAAAGGGCCGGCACACCGAGCGGCTCGCAGCTGACCAAGCAGGAATGCTGTGCTGAGCAGAAGGCTCAGGGACGCAGCCGTGTGTGAATTCAAATGAGTCTTCATTTGAACTGCTTAATCATCCCCCCTGAGTCTGCAGAGACGGGGGAGAAATGTGGTTAAAAGAGGTCACACCAGAAAGTAATTTAGCCGCAGACACCACGAGGAATAGAACTATCTGAGGCTAAATAATAATTTCATGAGCAACACATGGCACCCTGTTCTTTCTTTTTTTTTTTTTTTTTTCCTGAACACTTTATGTACAGAGCCTTGCGAGAGTGTCAGTAACCCCTAAACCATTTCAAATTTACCCGATAACAATAAGGTTTTATTCCTCTTTGTGAAATATACCCAACTCAGTCAGATTGAATGAAGCGTATTTGTCAGCTTCAAGTGCTGCTGTAGATTCTCACTCAGATTTAAGTCAGGGTTGTTCAAACACATCAACACTTTGATGTAAACCATTTTGCTACAGCTCCGGGTGTGTGTTTACGGTCGTTTTACTGCTACAATGTGAGCCTACACCCCTTTCTCAAATCTTTTGCAGCCCCCTTTTTTCCATGATTACACTGTATTTAGCTCCATCCATCTTAGCTCTCACCAGCTTCCATGACCCACTGAAAGAGCATACCCACAATATTATGCTGCTGCCTTCATGTTTCCTGGAATGTACTCATGTTCATATTGGGCTGTTTTTTATTGTCACACAGCATTTTTAATGTAGGTCAAAAATGTCAAATTTTGGTTTTCTTGCCCTTCTGCCATAAAGGTCAGATTTGTGACGTGTATGATTGTCTCCCTTTTCCCTACTGAAGAAAAGCCTCCACACAGCACAATGCTGCTACCACAGTGTCTTGTTTTTTGAGATGCCATTTTCAGGCACTGGAACCTAAAAAGTTTGTTTTCTAACCCTAAAGCAGTAAACATTTGTTCTGCTGTAGTAGCATGGCTTTTAGCAGAATACCACTGAACTCAGTCATATTGCTACCCACCATGCATTGATGACGAGCGTTGCAGACCACGTGTTACACCACCATTGCCAACTTAGCAAC